AGGGCGGCGCGGAAGAACAGGGGCGGGGGAGCGGGGAGAGCTGCTGCAGCGAGGCGAGGGCTGCCGGGCGTCTGGGAGCACGTTCGGGGGAAGCTTCCCCGCGCAGAGCAGCCGGGATGCCGAGCGCGAAACGGGCAGAAACCGCTTCAGAGGGGGGTGCTGAGGGGCTTCACGTTACCCGAGAGCAGGTGTGGAGAAGGGAACGGCAGCAGGCACCAGAACATGAAACAACTCAGCAGTGAGACAGATCGCGTTGCAAACTCACAGGCCAGCGGCTTTCCAAGCTGCTGCGTTAGAGGAGGAGACTTGGGTTTCACCCGGTGAAATCCTTCCTCGCCTTGCAGCCCGGCTGCCTGCGGGGGTAAGCCGGCGTGCGGGGATACTGGAGCTGGGCTGCAACCTCACAGCTGCCAGGCGGAGCGGAAGCTCTTTTTCCAGCTTTGGCTAGCGTGGGGTATTTACCCTGCCTCTGCTCAAATAAGCCTTAAGCTTCCCCCTCCCCTGTGCTCAGAAACAGCAAGGACCGTTATCGGTGAAGGCAGATATTGCCCCTGCCGGTTCTGTTTTGTTGAATATACAATTAATTCTTCTCCTGTTCTGTTTAAAAATGAATTGTGATAGCAAAAGGTTATGCTTGGCCTGATCTAGCTGTATAGCAACAGTAAATGTGACGAGGTGGTTTGGTGATCAAGTATTTCAGGCTATACAAATAAGGATGCCCAAAAGCAATCTATTAATAATTAAGAACTTTCAGTACAAAGTCATAAATAACTAAATGCTCCAGACCCACAGTGTAAGGAATTTTGACAGTACAAACTTTAATGGTTACCCAGTAATGTTACTACCGAGATCTCTGCCAGCTTTATAATGTGGTGACAGCATTTGACACCAGATGAAAACCCAAACCGGAACTTTAAATAAACTTCTAGCCTTCCATGAGGGAGCTACTGGAGATATTAGTAATGAGACCGAGGGAGCAGAATTTAGTAGGCGTTTACTACTAATCAGCTTAAGGGTGGGCCAGAAAGGATGAAGCAATCCAGAGTTTCATCTGGCGATATCTTATCCAGCACGGATACGCACAACTGGATCAGCCATTCTGTTGCCAACAGAAATACAGAAGTTGATACCTTCAAAGAACCCATAAGAGATGCCAGTATAATGGCATTGGCGTTTCTCACTCGGAAAATGGGAATCAGGATAGCTGACGGGGAAGAGGCTGTGCCATGGGTTAAACAGAAATGAAGCCAATACCTTTCTTAAAAATACAGAAGAATAAGTCAGACTCATTTACTCACATGTGAAGCTGTGTAATAGTTAAATCATATGGCTATAACATATCCTAGAGTTAAACAGAATGTTGCTAATATGTCAAGATGGAGTAGAAGCATATTTAAAGTAGATCTCTTTGTAACAAATATGACCCAGCCGTGCTGTAGAAGCAAAACAAATTAATCTGCTCGATACTAAGGATGTGGTGACCATCCTGTCATGGCTGCAGGCAAAATGATTTCTGTTCATTTGAGTTTTCTGTGCTTAGATTTCCAACTTATCTTGACAGTTCTGGTAATAGATTGAAATTAGATAAAGTATGCCATTTGATAATTTTTTTAATTATTGTGATGTTTTCCTTCCTACTTCTATTGTAAATACTATGTAACATTATAAAACACCTGCTGCAGTAGTGGAAGCATTCAATCATAACACCAGTAACAGAAGAGAGGGGTACATAGTGCAGTTTGCACAGCAGTGGGAGGAGAAATATTTAGTAAAAGGAGGGACATTCTGTAAAAATACAGTGAAAACAGCACACAAAATTAGTTTCTAAAATTACCTTTACACTTTTAAATTAACTATATTTCAAATTCACACCATCACAATGACGCTTTCTGGGAATATTTATGGTTTGTTTGCTTCACATTTCAGTTCAGAGACACTGCAACAGAAATATTTAAAACTGTGTCTGAATACCCCGGTACTCAGCAGTTCAATCCTGTCACTGCAGGCTGACTTCTCTGAGTCTCAGAGGGGCAGAACAGTTTTGGCTGATCTGTTACCTCACTGATGGGTTTTTTTTTATTCACCTGTATTTGGACATCAGCAATTAGCACACAGCTATCAGTTTAAATTGAGCTCAAGAACAAAACAGCTATGCGAAAGCTTTAGCTTTCCTAGTAGTTACTTTAATTGCTTGCTCTTTTTTTTAATAGGAAGTGCATTAGCATGAAAGGGAATTCTTCTTAGTGGACAAGCACTGAGCACATCAGGACTCCGGAGAAAAGTTTTTAAGCTTGAGCCACGTCGTGCTGGAATCATGTTAAACAAGCCAGTGCTGGTGGAATCCCTGATCGTGTTCGTCATTGTTCTCCTTGTGCACGCCGTGGTGTGGGACCGGTATTCCTGGTGCACCGTCGCTCTCGCCATCCAGGCTTTTTATGTCCAGTTCAAATGGGACCGTCTGCTCCAGCTGGGTGGGGCTGTGTTCCAGTTCCGTGCGGCAGCCAACAGCGGCCTCTTGCCAGCGAGCATGGTCATCCCCTTGCTGGGGATAGCGATGAAGGAGAGGTGCAAGTCTGCTGGCATTGTGTACTTTGAACGTTTTGGCATAGTCGTAGCTTCCACTGGCATGCTGGTTGCTCTGTTTTTGTCTGTAATAGCGGTTGGCATCACAAAACCTGTGCCAACCAACACTTGCATACTTACTGGTGTTGCTGGCAGTATAATTATCTATACCATGAAGCACTCTTTGACTGTTTCAGAAGTGATAGAGGTCCTAGAAGTGCTGCTAATTTTTGTCTACCTCAGTATGATCTTGCTGTACTTGTTGCCTCGATGTTTTACTCCTGGAGAAGCATTGCTGGTTCTCGGAGGTACGAGTTTTGTTCTCAATCAGCTCATTAAACGCTCACTGAATGTAATTGAGGGCAGAGGGGATCCCATAGACTTTTTCCTTTTGGTGGCAGTTGTTGGAATTGTTCTTCTTGGGCTTTTTTTCACTGTGCTCTTCCTTTTCATGGATTCGGGTACGTGGATCTCCTCCATGTTTTTCCACATGATGACAGCAGTGCTAGGCTTAGGGGTCATCATGCCTTGGCTGTACCGACTGATCCAGAGGAACCCTTTGTTCTGGCTACTCCAGTTTCTGTTTCAGACACAGACAAGAGTTTACCTTCTTGTATACTGGACCTTTTTGGCTGCTTCAGCATGTGGCATAGTTTTCTACCAGAATGCTAAGCGATCATCTGAATCTAAAAAACACCAGGCCTCGACTATAACCAGGAAATATTTCCATTTCATTGTTGTAGCTACTTATGTTCCTGGACTAATTTATGACCGCCAGCTTCTTTATGTTGCTGCAGTACTGTGTCTGGCAGTATTTATATTCTTAGAGTATATTCGGTACTTCAGGATCAAACCATTTGGCCAAACCCTTAGGCATTTGCTTTCTCTCTTCTTGGATGAAAGAGACAGTGGGCCTCTAATCTTGACTCATATTTATCTCCTCCTCGGTGTGTCCCTCCCAGTGTGGTTGTTCCCCAGATCTTGTGCTCCTAAAGGTACTTTGTCTGGGGCAGGAGCACTGGTCCCCTACGCCGGGGTGCTGGCAGTAGGGGTAGGAGACACCATTGCCTCTGTTTTTGGCAGTACGATGGGGGAAATCAAATGGCCGGGAACAAAGAAGACCTTTGAAGGGACAATGACAGCTATTTTTGCTCAGATCATTGCCATGGCTCTTATTCTGATCTTTGACAGCAGTGTGAATCTGAACTCCAGCTATGCCTGGATTCTGGCGTCTGTGAGTTTAGTTTCTCTTTTGGAAGCTTATACCACCCAAATCGATAATCTGCTGTTGCCTCTCTACCTCCAGATACTGTTTATGGCTTAGAAGCACTTCCAGGAACAGAGGTTTCTTCTCTTCTAGAGATCCGGGGTAACAGAATATGCACTGTAATGAGAGCTCAAAGCTAGCGATCTAAACAGTGTTTACAGTACAGCAGATAAAATTGTTAAAAACAGAAATGAAAAAGACCTATTTAACATAAAAGTTTTGGCTTTAGTATTTACCCTGCCTCCGTTTAAAGCAGCATGAGTTGATTTATTTTTTCACAAGAACACAAACAGGACTTGTAAATTGGATTATTAAACACAAATTCCAATTTTATGTCTCTGCTGGGTGCTCAGAGGCAAAAGAGGTAAGTTAGTGAGGGAAAAAAAGAAATGAGCAAACCTCTCAGATTTTGCAACCTCTGTATTGCATCAGAACCAAAACTTGTTTTACTGTACTGAGCCCTGCCGTCTCGTATTACTGCATATGCAAACTCCTCGTTTCTGTATAAGCACCATTTAAAGCATGTTTCACAGTAAGGGTGGCCACTATCCACACAAAGTGAATACGACTGTCCCGATATATCCCGTCACCATCCACAGGAGCCATACTAATGCACTGCCCTGCATGAACATGACCTCAAACTCCGTAGCTGTCAGAGCTGAGTTTACCCAGGGCGGGTGGGGAGGTATGAGAGTGTAAGAGACTCTTTATTCCAAACAGTACTAACAAGAGGGTTGCTGTTTTAGCCCTGAAGGTTTATGCAACAAGAAGAATGTTTTAGGTTTTTCAAGATTTTAATCTCTAGATTCATGTGGAGTAATATTCAATACAGGGGAAAAAACTAAGCAAAGTCACAACTTAATTACACAATAATCATGAAAGCAGAAAGTCTGTTAAAGTCAATAAACTTTTTTAATACTATTGCAGTTTTCTACTTTTCACATTTTTTCAGCTAGGTGTTTAATCAAATAATTTATAAAAATGCTTCTATCAACAAATTGAGTAAAGCCATTTAATTCTGTCCATTTAATTAAAATTATAACTACCCTTTTGTGGCAAAAAAACCCACCTAATTTTTATGTATGAAGCACTTCTGTATTGACCATGTCTTCTCACCAGTTTGCCAAGTGTCCACAAAACACATTAGCATGTGCCCTCCCTGCCTCTTCCCTTCCCCTGAGCTGTGTCCAAGCAGAAGATCTGCATCCCAGGACTGTTGTTTACAGGATGGAGTTAACTCCTGACACTTGGTTTATTCACTTTTGGGAACAGTTTTGTGCAAGTCCAAGCTACCTTACACAATACTGTCCTGCAGCCTAGCCCTGGGACTGTCGTAGGAGTAAGACTAAGACTGGGGGTGGAGTGGAACAAGTTCTCTGAGCCAGCAGAATTGGCCCCAGAATCTGATATTGTGTTTGTCCCCACAGCAAGGCAGGACTTGAACAGCTGAGCAGCAGAGTTGCCCAGTTTACCCCCCCTGCCTGGGCAGGGCTCCTGAGGTTTGATACTGCTTCTTCTGAGGAGGATGTCAAAATTGTCCAGAGTTGGTTTTGGTTAATAACGCAATGAACTGTCAGATACTCTTTGTAGGAAACCAAACTCGGTGATTGTGCTAGACCGAGTTTCCTTCACATTTAACAGGAAATCCTGCAAATCCAATCCAGCTTCTTGCTTTTATTTATGCACTTGAACTAGATTTTCTTGTACGTTGCAGGTAGTGGTGCATGTAATTGGAGGACAGACTATCACTCTTCAGCATAAAGGTGCTATTCTAAATTATTAACTCTTCCAATGGCAAGATACAGAAAAAGCTTCAGCTGCTTCCATCACAAGCCACAGCCTTCACCACTAACATCATAAAATAGCACCAGAGTTAGTCATTTTCGTTCCACCCCACTCACAGCTTTCAAACAAACTGTAGAGAAGGGAGGGGAGGGCAGCAGCTGTGCCTGCAGAAACTGAACTCGAGGTTACTGCTGGTGCCATTACCCAGTTTCCTAATTACTGCCACAGCCACCTGATCATCCCTCTGCGATGAATTCCTTGCTGTGCTGAACCTATCCTGCATTGCCCAGCAACATCCAAAGGGCTGAAAGGAAACTTCGTCTCATAAAGAAACCAAATTTGAATAAGTCACATCAAACAAATGTCAGAGACAGGTAATATATTTTTGAAAGGGATGAGTCAGAAGCAGGGCTCACTCTGCCAGGACTCTGAGCAGTCTTACGGTTACTACAATGTAATTAGTGCATTGATGATACTGGGCTTGTATGTCAGGGTTGCCACTGCACCAGTGCCAGTGAAAGTACACCCACACAGTTTCTGTTCCGTTTAGGATACAGGCTTGAGCTTGCCTTGGATGCAACTTACATTTCTTCACATTCCTTAGGTTTCACCTTGCTATAAGTCGGTTTGCTGTTGGGGGGGTTTTGGGGGGTAGCAATTGTGAACATCGAGAGTTCAAAGCGGTCATCAGACAACTTAGCGCTGGCCCCATCTGTTGGGAGGAGGTCACACTGTATCTTCCTCAAAGAAAAGATGAGGGAGATGAAAAGGAGAATTTATATTTTTTTATTTAAATGTTAGGAGTTTGGGGTTTTTAGTTTTCATAATTTCAACATGAATCTTTAAGAACTGTAATACTTTTAAGCAACACACCCAGAGATCAAGCACTCAGCTACAGTTTTCTAGCAATACTTATAAGATTGATTATAAAAATAGACTTCCTACTTCATTTTGCACACAACAGGATTATTTTTAATCACTATTATTCAAACAATAGAGCAGGGACCTAAGGGTAAAAGTCAGCCATCTTCACACAACACGTTCACCTGATTTGCTAGGATTGACACAGCCAAGAAATGCGCTAGACAAGCTCTTGACAGAAGAAAATACTGAGTGTTTGCAAGCAGAAATACTTCTGAACTGTCCCAATCAAGGTGCAATGGTCTTTAATTGTCTATTCTAAAGACTGAAGAAGTTTCCTTACTAAAAAGGACTGGGTGACTATTCTCATACTAGTAGGGCTCGTGCTGTAGTAGAAGCTCCTAATGTGGATGTATCCAGCTGTGTCCAGGGTCCTTGTTTGGGGCAGTGGATAAGTTATTCTTACAAGCTGATCTAGTGAAAGTTGTATTTAAAGGGAACATGAACAAACGATCAGAAAGGAATATTGATCAGTTATTGACTCCAGAAGCCAATCACTAACTTCAAGTGTAGAGCGATGGAAAAGGCAGTTCAGGAGTTGGCTGGAGCCTAGGAAGTAAGGAAGAGGTAAAAACAAAACTTCAGAGGCTATTCCAGTTCTGCAGGTGTGAAATCAATGCCAACGGAGGTACTACCGACAGAATCTGAGTGGCATGCAAGACCACCAATAAAAGTTTATCCTGGCTATTGCATTGAAAAGGTTCTGGTTTCCTCAGCTGCGCGTTAGGATGGGACCTTACCAGTTCTCTTTGCTCCAGCTGGTGTCTTTGGCTTCCATCACATGGAAGGTGAACACGTGGCGAGAAGACTCCGAGCTGTTCAGTTCACTCTTATGGACGACTTCACCGTGGATGAGAATGAGTCCACCTGTTTGAAAGAAACATCCATCATGCCTTTTTTTTTTTTTTTTCAAATCACGAGTGCTAGCTTTAAAAATATAAGGGAAGTTGCAAGTGTTAAAACACAATTTTAGCTCCCTTGTTTTTTCCTGAGCTGTAAAGCAGACATGTCGGGGGGGTTGTTTGTACCTTTACTTATAGGCAGAGGTATGAACTGGCTGTTGTCGTAGGCTGGCTCTGACCCTACAAACTCTACACATGTTGAGGCACCTGAAGCTGCACGGACCATTCTCCGGGTAATTCCCCCTACAAAGCCACAAAATAAGCAAACATACAGAAAGATTAAACAACTAGCTACATTCTGTACAGCAGAGAAACAGTATCTGTGGCTTCTCTTGACAATTATACGAACTTTATTATTACAGTATATTCAATTTTTCCTTAGTAATTTGGGTGGGGGTTTTTCATTAAGCAAAGATTTAGGAATTTCCAGCTGTGGCAGAAACTGATAAATAACTGCCTTTTGTTTGCCTTTCCATCTCTTTCTGTGCATTGCAACATAGGCCCTTTAGGAACACCAATAGTCATACACTTCGGCAAAGCCAACCTTTGGTCCATTTCTCCTTTCTATAAGAGCAGAAATTGCAATCAGAGTGAACTGACTCCAGAATTTATGCAGGATGAGTGTGTTAAAATCTTAAGAGCACTATGATTACACTCACTAAGTGAATGCTTAGGAGAGCAACAGTTCAAAGCTGATTCACGTCCCTTAGAGGTAGCGAAAAACAGAAAATGTGCTGGTAATCCAGCTGTGGTTGCACACACACGGCCACTGCCATTGGTCATGACAGCCGTTACATGACTCTGCACTGGTCTGGTTTTGCCTCTGTGCTCCCCTGGGACACTGACTGTTCTCCGATGGCTTGGATGGTGTCCAAGTGATCTGTGCATAGACTTGGAGGCTTTCCTTTTTTGCTGAAATTCAGACCAATATTTGACAGTTGTGTGTGTGTGTAAGAGGATTTTTATTGCCCTTACATAGGGCTGTCAGGACTAAAAGTTTTATTAGCCAGAGCAGAAAAGGGGATCTTTGTGAAGGGGTTGCAACCTGGAAAAGAAAGTTTTGTGAGTGGATAGGGGAAAAAAAAAAGAAAAATAAAAAAGAGTGATTTCTTAGCGTATTCTTACTCTGGAAGGCAAAAGGAGGATTATTACTCTTTGCAGTCTAGATCAGACTTGATGAACATGTTCAATGGTACAGTTAAAACTGCGGATGGAGCACCAACATAGAGCAGTGACTTGTTTCACTGCAAGAAGAAAGGCCCCAGTAGTTTAAGACCTTCTTTCCATTAAAGTCTTAAATCTCAAGGCAGAGTCTGAATCTTGCAGAGGAAGCTTCTGAAATAATACTGAAGCAAAAAGGAAAGATTCAGGAACAGAT